ATATATATATATATATATATATATATATATATATATATATATATATATTAGATTATATATATATAACTATATATATAAAATATATATATATATATATATATATATATATATTGATTTACATATATATATATATATAGTATATATTATATATGTATACATAATATATATATATATATATATATATATATATATATATATATATATATATATATATATATATATATATATATATATATATATGTCGTGCCGAATATGTAAAACTGGTCAATTAGCAAGAACTCATTTAAAATTAAGTCCTTTCTAAAATTTTCTCTTATACGTTTAAAGATAAATATTTTTCATTTATGTTGATGTAAAAATTTTTAATTTTGCACCAAAAGGAAATTAGAAAACTTACCTAACCTTATTATAACAAGCTCAATTTATTTTAGCCTAAACCAACAAAATATATTTTAGATTTGTTTACAATAATTTAATACTAAACAAACACAGTGAAATATATTTTTTTCGTTAGGTTCAGAATGATTTTGACGAAATTATTGCATACACAAATTTTCACTTGTCCTATATGGCAAGATGAGCGTTGCTATTTAAGCCAAGATCGCAAGTTCTACCTATTCGGCACGACATATATATATATATATTATATATATATATATATATATATATATATATATATATTATATATATATATATATATATATATATATTATATATTGTGTATCTTTATACGTATATGCTTCTAAAGTGTTGCGTTCTGAGCACCTCTGCAAAAACAGTGATTATGTGTAAGTGAGGTGAAAGTGTTGAATGATGAAAGTATTTTGTTTTTGGGGATTTTCTGTCTTTTTGGGTCACCCTGCCTCGGTGGGAGACGGCCGACTTGTGGAAATATATATATATATATATATATATATATATATATATATATATATATATATATATATATATATATATATATATATATATATATATATATATATATATATATATATATACTTATATGGATATATACAAGCACGAATATTTCTATACATTTCTGCATTATATACAAGTCTGTAATGTATATAAGAGCGTATATCCATATGTATATTATTATAAAAATCCACATGTATATACTTATGTGCATATACAGTATGTTAACCCTTTTGTACGCATGTGCATAAGTACTGTATACCTGTGCATGTGTACATATATACTAGTGTTTTATGCATGCATATGTCCGATTCGAAATCAAAGAGAGTGCATTTGCCAAACCCGGCAGCCGTAGGAAGGTGGTCGGAATCCCACTTGAGGTTTGATAGCAAATAAATTGTTGCACTCTAACCCGGACCACAATTGTTGCCACTGATTTCGGAGTTGCTGAGAGAAACCATACCACGGGCGGGATAGAACCCGCGATCAGTCTCAAAACTCCAGACCGTCGCGTTAGCCACTGGACCAGCTAGCCACAATAAGATTCGTCCAACTAGGTATATTTCTACACCATAGGAAGGTTAGCATAGGCACCACTGTGAAAACAAATGTAAGTTTTTATAGACGAATCTCCAGCTAGCGTGGCCGTGACGAACTCTAGCTCAAGTCCCCTCAAAGCCGTTAACGTGACTCACGAAATCGTAATGACACGAATACCTAGTTGGACTAATCTTATTGTGGCTCCAGTGGCTAACGCGACGGTCTAGAGTTTTTAGACTCTGACCGCGGGTTCCATCCCCGCCCTTGGTATGGTTTGTTTGCAATCGTGTCATTACGATTTCGTGAGTCTTGCTGAGAGAACACCGAAAAGGAAAAGTTTCGAGAAAGGAATACCTCCGTGGGAAATAGGTGGTGAATAACTAACTAGTCGAGCGCCTTAATCTGCTTGTTCATTGCCTTAACCATCGGTGTGTCCCAGTAAAAGCAAAAGAAAAACTGTTTACTGGAAATGCAACATAACCCAAGTTGTTTACGAAAGATGATGGGATAACTTGGAAGATTGGGAATACAAGTCTGTAGATTATATCTTCCAAGCGAAGTAACACACTGGGGAGCTTGCAGCACACTCGGGAAATCGGAAACAATAAATGGAGAGATGAGACATGGTCGCAATGCTTATGATAGTGGTGAGAATTGAATACAACTCTGCTGTCAAAAAAAAAAAAAAACTGGCAGACAACTATAATGTTCCTAGATTATCTTTTCTAGAAAAAACTGCACACCTGCCGTCTAGTAATTTAGAACCATTGAGTACGCGGCTATAAGTAATTATTATTATTATTACGACTACAAAACTAAGCGCTAAACCTACAAGGCTTATACAGTGAGCAAGTGATCAAAAGTGGCTACGAAGTTGTACACTTCAAAATATGATCGATGACTTTTTCATTATACTCGCACGTATAAAAAAAAATCACTCGACCACTTACATGTAGCCTCTTCGGGGTTAACTAATAATTTTTTTCACTAAAAGTATTCATATTTTATGTTCATTCAATGTATACTATTACAGATATGGGAAGCGCTATACCCGGTCACACATTATAATAATCAAGGGGGAAGCGCTAAACCCGGAGGATTATACAGCGCCTGGGGGAGATGTGGAAGGCATTCAGGCTTAATTCGGGGAACTGGAACACAGATCCAATTCCCTAAATCAAGAGCCCCTCATCAACATCAAGGAACCTTCCTTGAGGGGCCCGGTCACACAGCGTGTGGGGGAACTGGAAGCTTTCAAGTTTGATCTAAGTAAGTGGAGGACGGCTCCAATTCGTTTATCGATAGCCCTTCACCGGCATAAAGGATCTTCCCTTAAAAAGTTATTCATTATAGATATCTGAATAATAGGTATGGAGATGCAGATAATGACGTCCACAATTATGTATTGAAGAAACATTTAGCTAAGAGTGGCTTCAGTCTTAATACAGAAGCTGGAGCAGTTCATAATAAAGCAAGAGGTCAGCCGCACACAAGTTATAAGCGGGAATGACATACTAGATAGCTTCTAGAAAATAGGTTAGACAGATATATGAGGCTTGTAAGCCTGTGTACGGCTCCATGGTGTAATGCAAATAGGTTCTAGTCCCCCTCAACGTAGGCAGTAGGCGTGACGATGCTGGCTGGTTATGAAATTGCACTATCAGGCTTCAGGCTGGGTAGTAAACGCTAAGCCATGACTTGAAAAATTCGCAAATTCCTAATTTGTGAGATGGTATTAGTTACTATTATAGTAGTCTCTGTACACCGTCGACAGCATAGGTCATTTTCATATATAATTTACTTGGCTTCTCCAAATTTCATTACCTGGCCTTGTTAACGCCCATATTGGACACAACGGTTGTAAGCAATTTTGATCACTTACTCTTCCACACATCTTGCCACCATACCTCATGCCATGCCCTCGTTAAGGAATGACGAAGACACCTGCACTATTGGTTATCTTATTAATTCGCTCCTGACTAAATCTGAGTGGTCGGAAGAGTTCGCAGTTATTTTAAACTATTCATTATGAGGGATACATTAGTGCTGAGTAGTAGCATCAAACATTTTAAGGTTGAATTATTATTATTATTATAATCAAGGGGAAAGAGCTAAACCCGGAGGATTATACAGCGACTGGGGGGGGGGATGTGGAAGGCATTCAGGCTTAATTCGGGGAACTGGAGCACAGATCCAATTCCCTAAAATCAAGAGCCCCTCACCAACATCAAGGAACCTTCCTTGAGGGGAAGGTTGAATTATATTCCATGCTTTTTATCAAATTCATCCACATTTTTTATACTTGTATAGATTATTATTATTATAATCAAGGGGAAGCGCTAATCCCGTAGGATTATACAGCCCCTGGGGGAGATGTGGAAGGCATTCAGGCTTAATTCGGGGAACTGGAGCACAGATCCAATTCCCTAAAATCAAGAGCCCCTCACCAACATCAAGGAACCTTCCTTGAGGGGAAGGTTGAATTATATTCCATGCTTTTTATCAAATTCATCCACATTTTTTATACTTGTATAGATTATTATTATTATAATCAAGGGGAAGCGCTAATCCCGTAGGATTATACAGCCCCTGGGGGAGATGTGGAAGGCATTCAGACTTAATTCGGGGAACTGGAGCACGGATCCAATTCCCTAAATCAAGAGCCCCTCACCAACATCAAGGAACCTTCCTTGAGGGGATGCTTCTAGAGTTCATTTGTTTGGATTTATATTTTAATAGAGCTAATGCTCGACCCACAGGGGTCATATAACGCCTACAGAATGAACATTCAAATTCATCCTAAGGAGTGTAAAACTAGTATTACAGTAAAAAAATTTTTAATTGAGTGCTAAACCTGTAGGGAGGCTGAGAAATGAGTTGCACATTGGTGGGTCACCACAATAGTAACCCACCATCAGGAAAATGCAATAATTTAAATCAAAATGTCGCATGTTGGCCATGAAATAGTATTTTCTTTTTTATTAAAGCAAGTGCAAAACCAAGGTGAAACTCGCTCCAATAAAATGTTATCAAAAAACTTAAATTCCAAATACGATGGATTTGTTTATACTGATGTTAATTAAAATACTATTCCATGTTCACTGGCCCACCACGGTGAGGTCTGCGACAAACGGGCCAGACCAGGGTTACTCGTACAAAGGCAAGCCTTCGCTCATGGAACCCTAAACCATGAACCAAACAAGAAAAGCAAATTTCTTGTAAGAGTACTTCGGTATTTTTAGCGGTAGCAAGCTACCACTAAAAATGGGTATTTTTAGTGGCAGCTAGGCTGCCACTAAAAATGAGGGTTATTTTTAGTGGCAGCTAGGCTGCCACTAAAAATGAGGGTTATTTTTAGTGGCAGCTAGACTACCACTAAAAATGATGGGTTTGTATTTTTAGCGGTAGCCAGGCTACTGCTAAAAATAGTGGGTATTTTTAGTGGTAGCAAGCTACCACTAAAAACGGGTATTTTTAGTGGCAGCTAGGCTACCACTAAAAATGATAGGTTTATATTTTTAGTGGTAGCAAGCTACCACTAAAAATTGTTCAACAGCAAGCTCTTGATAATTTGGTATTTTTAGTGATAGTTTGACCCTCACTAAAAACCACCCAAAAGCAAGTTGTTGCTGACTACCCGCAAGGAGTAGCAAGAGTATGGAGAGTAAGTGGAAAAAAATCCACTAAGATTGTTGACTATAAGGCCATGTGACCCAGAGTCCATTGCCTGAAATTATTACTCTCCACTAAATACAAATAAGCTTAGCTTATTGAATCCAAGCAAATATATGAATTTTTATAGCTGGACTAAGTCCATTAATTCCTTGATGAAAAGGCAGTCAATTCCTTGACTGAATATTAATGACAGTCCAACTCCCTCGGTTTAAGTCTAAAATACAAACACTTGCAACCGAGTAGTACTGTGGACAGAGCTCATTTTCTCTGAAACTTAATCATTTTCTTGGACAGTACTTTTATAAATTTCTTTGATAAATGAAACTACAGATTCTTTCCTGGAGTGAAAAAATCTGAACTGGATGAACTCCATAAAACTTTTTGATGAAAGAGTCTTTTCTTAGAGTAAAACTACAAACAAACTGTCTGTGAAAGAATCTACTGTTAAGCTGATTTTCCTCGACTCAGTAGAACTGTGGACAGTCCAATTCCTATTTTTCTTGACTGAGCAAGACTAGAATATATAAACTCCGTAGTGATGAAACTACAGCCACTGTCCATGACGGACTACAATGTGGATGGAGTCAAATTTCCTCACTGAAGAAACTAAACCTTGAACTGAAATGTGGACAAGTATATAAACTCATCAAAAGAAACCACAGCCATTTTCCTTGATTGAAACAAGCAGCAAACTATCTCTGTCGTTTACATTTTTGTTAACTAAATACAAGTGTGGGCAGAGACACTTCAGTAGAACTGTGGTCAGTCCAATTTCTTTGACAAAACCTTTAGCATGACTCACGAAATCGTAATGACACGATTGGTATGGTTTAAACCTTTAGCCATTGTCCTTGAATGGAAATAAAGACAGTTTAATTTCCTTGTCGAAAATCATTTTCCTGGAGCATCACTGAGAAACAGAAGTGTAGACAGTCCAACACCCTTGACAAAGAAAGTCATTCTGACTGAATACAAACATGGAGAGTCCAATTTCCCCAACAAAAATTCAGACTTGTTTTTTGATTAAGTAGAACTAAGGACAAAGTCCATTAACTCCCTCAATGAAAAACAGCAATTTTACTTTGCTCAATAGAACTATGTACAGTCCAACTTCTGGAAATCAACACTTATGTTAAGCAGTTATTTTTCCTGGCTGAATCTAACCACAGGCAATCTAGATTCCCATGATGAAAGCATCTACAGCCATAAGTTAACAGCAGAAATTTGATGCCAGTGAGGCTTGAAACACTGATCAATGTAATGTTCAAAACCACACCTATATCAATTTGTGGGCAACACTATTCTATTGTATATTCCTTTTGATCTACGAAGATAAACTATTCCAGACACCCTAACACCACTCATTTCACCCCCCCCCCCCTATATATTCCATGGTTCACCTCGTCTTAGACTCATCTGCTGACGTGTCCACTTCCAAATATCTCCGTACATTTTCCTCCATACTTCCCGCCCCTCCAATTTAATATTAAACCAATCATTGCCATGATTTTTTGTCACCTTCATTATCTTGCTCTTATATGAGTTCAATTTGAATTTCTTTTTTACCAATACTCCCAAATTCGTCCCACAACCTTTGAAACTTGTCTTCAAAATCCCCAAAAATAATGTCAACAGAGCAACTGTGGTAACTCCCACTTTGTATCGTATCCAAATCTCTTAATCCCACTCCCCTTCCCAACGAACTAGCGTGGTGACATGCGTCCCTCTCCAAGTCTCACTTTCACTATTATTTGGACTTCAATTAATTCCCTCCACAAAAACTACAGCCTATGTCCTCGGCTCAGCACATATGAACCAAGTCAAACTAGCTCAACAAAATTTACAGTCATTTTTCTTGGTAAAGTTCACCAACTACCTCACCGGATGAACCACCCATTCACCCAAGTAATATATGCATCCAACCCCTTCACTGCACTATAGTAATTTCTTGTCAAACTTTCAAAACTTTCTCATTTTCAAGGGCTAATGCCTTCAACTTCAAAGAACGTATTATATTTCCTGGGCACCTTCATATTAAACTCGTCCCTTTTCCCTTGAAAAAAATATTAGCTGCATTTTTTCTCTTCAGCCTCTATCTCCTATAATTACTATTTATCGTCTACATCAATACATTTTCTTGACACCTAAAATCGTCATCCTAAACTGTCTATACTTTTCCAAAATACCTAACCCTTCCAATTTATTTATTCATTATTTTAACTTTGATAAACTTAACCTAGTCCTCTATTTTCTTATTCAACCTTGTATATATAGCATCTTTCCCCTCCACTTTATAATTCCTTTTGAAGCTCGACTACATATATTGTAAAACTGAATTCCTAATAAATTACTCCCCATTATATAGCCAGTCTTTATAGTATGCCAGTTCGTCAACTCTAATTGCATTTTATGAACAATTATCTACAATAATTGCTTTCTCAAAGAATCTCATTAAGATGTATCAACAATAAATGCTTTCTCAAAGAATGTGATTAAGATACATCACAAAACAGGCTTCAAAAAGTTGTCTTTAATTAATGCTCCCATATTCTACCTCTCCCTTAAATTTTATATTACAAAATGCAATTAAATCCTCAGCAATACTTACATTTAAAACTCTTCTGATCACATACCTATGTCCATAAGTTCTTTCCTCTTTGCCCTCTAAAAAATCCATAAATATTTTTGCACAATGACATAGTCATGGTCAGTATGAAGCTTGGTTTGGAGTAACTGTGTAACTGTAAGCATGAGAATGTTGAACTTCATACCAATTATGTGGTGTAACTTATAGTAACATATGCTGCTTCCTTAACTAAATTAATAAGCTTAAAATACATGCATTTAATGTTAAACAAATTACATTTTTGTAATATTACATCATATGATAAAATTTCCCCAACTTTTTTTGTCTATGAATTTCAACTGAGAACATTTTATAACTATCAGATTCAGTAGTACTGTAAAAAGTAGACTAAAATGAGCCATTGTGAAAAATTATGAGTGAAACTTACTTGAATATAAGAATTTCAATAAAATTTGTGCATACAGGCTGCAAGGAAAAACAGTCATTAAGCTGTAAGCCATAAGACACACAATCTTACTATCAATATTGGAGGCTGTACATAAATAAGAGATTAATTATGGTATGCAACAAGGTAATAAAAATTTAAAAATGGTTATGTAAAATGAAAGTTATAAATTATAAAGCAATATTTTAAATTTAATTTTTATCCTGCAAAGTAAAATTATTCTGCAGGGAAATTAAAATGTTTTTAATTGAAGGGAATATATTAATTAGAAAGAAAAAATTCATTAGGCTGAAAAGGAAAATTTCATTAGGCTGAAAAGGAAATTTCATTAGGCTGAAAAAGAAATTTCATTAGGCTGAAAAGGAAAATTTCATTAGCCTTGAAAGGAATTTTTTATTACACTGAAAAGGAAATTATTTATTAGGCTGAAAAGGAAATTATTTATTAGGCTGAAAAAGAATTTTATTACGCTGAAAAGGAATTTTTTTTTTAGGCTGAAAAAGGAAAATACTGATTAAGCTGTAAAGGAAAATTACATTAGGCTGTAAGAGGAAAACTGAATATTAATAAGGCCACAAGGAAAAAATAAGGCAAGATAAAACAGTACCTCAAGTTAACAGTACCGGGGAAAAAAATAAATATGTTCACCAAATTAGAAAAAAACGTTGTCCGGTCTTTTCTCACAGTAGGTTAGGTTAGGTAAGGGTCGTCAGGAAACAGGACAAAGCGTTTCCTGGCGTGGGTCTTGGTCATATGATGACCAGCCGTTGGAACTTTTGGTCATCTGAGCGAGGCCTTCCGCTGGCTTATCGGTGCACCCCTTTAAAAATTATGGTTATAGTTATAACCATTTTGATTCACAGTATCAAATGTCTTGCTATCTTCCTGAGGCACAGAAGGCGAGAAACGTTTCTGGAAATAAAGTAGTGAGTGTTAACATGTTAGTTATATTACACATCATCAATATTGCTTCTAGAAATATTAAAACATGAAAATTAATAATGAACGTAAAGTAGTTTGGACCAAATTTTCCCTTTTATATATATATATATATATATATTATATATATATATATATTATAAAAATATATATATATATATATATAATTTATTTAAATGATGCTGAGATGCTTAAAAATTTCCTAGATACATAAATTAACTTGGCGCATCACAAATTTTTTTTTTTTCTCATCCCAATTGGAAATCAATCGAGGTCCTTTATGTTGAGAGTTGCGCACTTTACCATTGAACCGAGTCAGTACGAATTTTCGAGCTAAAAATCATCTTTTGTAGTGGTCTCAATTTACAAGACTGAGTAACTCGGTGACGGGATACTTGCTACTGAGTAGCAAGTTAATTCTCGAGTCTAAGTAGTATTTTCTTTCCTCAGTTTTGCATTTGTTTTTACCAAGTTAGGTTTAGTAATTTATCCAATTCAGCTTCTTTGTTAAATTTGTGAGGCTGAAGTTCAATTTAACGCGTCATGTAGAAATTATATAGCGTACACATTATTTTCCACATGGCCACATACGCTCTAAAGCTTAACATTAAGAGCGTGCATGAAAACAGCATAAATCATACCTTCCTACCAATGTTATGACCTACGGTGAACTGGTAAAGGCATACCTTAATACTTGTGTTTAAGGGTCGAACAACTTCTGGGGAATGGGTGGCACTCAAGTTCAATTCAAGGGAAGAACAGATTCAATTCCTTGCATCATAAGCCCTTCGCCAGCATCAAGGACCCTCCTTTAAGTCAGGGTAGCGTAGCACCTATTCCTTATACCTCTCATGACGCACTTCATTTTCTTTAAAACACAAAATAAGAGAAATTATAATAATCAGGGGCAAGAGATAAACCCATAGGGTGCCGCAGAACGTTTTGGGAATGGGGGATATTAACATTCAAGCCAAGGGGAGAATAAATTCAGTTACTTGGATCAAGATTTCCCTCCATTGATGGGTCGCCGCCGTTCACGTCAAGCCGCTGCTTGGCGGGAACACGCCACTGCTTGGCGGGAGCACGCCGCTGCTTGGCGGGAGCACGCCACTGCTTGGCGGGAGCACGCCGCTGCTTGGCGGGAGCACGCCACTGCTTGGCGGGAGCACGCCACTGCTTGGCGGGAGCACGCCACTGCTTGGCGGGAGCACGCAACTGCTTGGCGGGAACACGCCACTGCTTGGCGGAGCACGCCGCTGCTTGGCGGGAGCACGCCACTGCTTGGCGGGAACACGCCACTGCTTGGCGGGAGCACGCCGCTGCTTGGCGGGAGCACGCCGCTGCTTGGCGGGAGCACGCAACTGCTTGGCGGGAACACGCCACTGCTTGGCGGGAGCACGCCGCTGCTTGGCGGGAGCACGCCTCTACTTGGCGGAGCACGCCACTGCTGGCGGGAGCACGCCACTGCTTGGCGGGAGCACGCCACTGCTTGGCGGGAGCACGCCACTGCTTGGCGGGAGCACGCCACTGCTCGGCGGGAGCACGCCACTGCTTGGCGGGAGCACGCCACTGCTTGGCGGGACCACGCCACTGCTCGGCGGGACCACGCCACTGCTTGGCGCGACTACACTACTGCTGGGCGGTAATGAGCCACATATCTGGTGCATTAATTTAATTTTTTCCCCTTTAGTCAAGACTAAACCTCCCAAAAGACACCATTTGTTACAATATCATGGGGGAGCGCTAAACAAGTAGGGATTATACAGCGCCTGTAGGGGGGAGGGGGGTGGAAGGTATTCAAGACTTAATTCAGGGAACTGGAGCATAGATCCAATTCCCTAGATCAAGAGCCCCTCACCAGCGTCAAGGATCCTCCCTCGAGGGGTTTGTTATAATTTCTATTTCTTATATTCCACATCAGAGAAAGTTTTATGCCTTATCGTGACTTCATCTCGCTAAATACACGTTGTTTCACGTTTTTTTTCTTAAATTTCCTACCAAAAAACGCCACTAAAAGCTGTCGGGCCACAGGTGGTCCTCTCACTATACAAACGTTTGGTTTACAACGAATTAGGCCACGTTAAGTTTACAGTGGTTTACCTTGCTGGTGTTGACACACCCGCCAAAGATTTAAAAAAAAAAAAAAATTTTCCCAAAGCGAGGCAGCCAAAAGTATGAGATTACCAGTCATGGGGAAGCGCTAAACCTGCAGGGTTCAAACAGCGCTTGGGGGAATGGTAGGTTTGATCCGAGTAAGACAGCTTCATCATGGAACTTCCCCTTCTTGAAGGGTTTTAATTTTCTTACTGTGGCAGATAAAAAAAATACCGGTCATTTACCTAGTTTGTGCAGAGCGCTAAACCCGTATAGGTCAGAGCTTGTAGGAAATGGAAAAACCAGATTCAATTACCTGGATCAAGAGCCTATAGGTGGCGTCAAGAAACCTTTGAGTGGGGTTTGTTCCGAGGAAAGTGAAGCTAATTCAAATTTCTCGACCAGGACCCCCCCCCCCCCAGGTGCATGATACATGCATATTGGTGTAGCGCTAAACCTGTAGGCGCTAGTGCCCGGAAACATTAGATTAAGGCGGATGGTCCAAATTCCTTGGATCAAAAGCCCTGCCCCTCCCCGTGAGGGGGGGGGGGTACACAAAATCCCCAGACGTCACTTACCAATTTATACTCAATCTTAAGATTCACAATTTTTATATAAAATACGTACCATATTTTCTGCACTGCTGCTTGAGAATCTTTCGTCTGGGGAAATTTTTCCTGAAAAAATAAAAATGGCCGTCATTGCCCGTGATGGAAAAAATCATATATCATTATTTCACACAAATTTTGGAGGGTAATTGCTTCAGGTATACATACAGTGGCTATACTACCAAGTAAATTAACTTTCAAGAGGAAATCATTAGTAATTTACAGCAAAAATGTGGAAAAATTGCTTACCTATCAGCGCACACCCTCACGCCATCTTCTCCTGCGCACCACTGATGGTGGGTTTTCGCGCTCACTCTCCCGCCTTCACCTTGCTGTGACGTCAACACTCACGCATATTCTCATTGGCTAATTTAAAGTGACGTAGCAACTCCTGATTGGCTAGTAGGTTTAGATGTTCGATTCTTTGATGTCATCAAATTCAAAGTCAAAGTCGAAGAATTATTTCCACATGATACAGATTTTGTACAGATATGGGTGACATTTAATTGTGCATACAGAAAATTCATGGTTATGCACAGCATTTGATTGACTGATTCTTACCGCCAGTGTCAAAAAAATTATTTTTGATTGGCTGTGGCCAGAGCCATATGAATAGTTTTTGCCGGTTAGTATAAGGCTCTTGATCCAGGGAATTAATGTCGTGTTTCACTTCCTCAGACTATTAAATGCATATTCCTTGAGGGTAAAGGGCTCTTGATCCAAGGTATATGTGCTATATCCACCTTCCTCGGATCAAACATGTGTGTGGAAAATACTGTATATATTTTCCAGAAATTCAGTATATGTAAATAGATGGCCATACTGTATTTAATAATATTTGTCATAGAAAACGGAAAGCCTGCGTCTGGGCAGACGAGACTCTCCATCTTGGTTTTGAATTTTGTACAAACGTTGGTGTAATGGGAAGAATTTTTCGTGCTCTAGAGGTTAAAATTGTGTTGACACCTCTCAAATAGGAGGCGAAATTGGTGGATGTGCATTCCTGCATAACTTGAGATATCAGAACGACTGGACAAGACAGCTCCAGGAACCTCAGATAAGCTCTTAAGTTTGTTTTAATTCTGGCCAGCATTGGTTTCATAGATTTAGTTAAGTGAGGTTTTCTGAGTATGATACACATTAATCCCAGTCAAATTGGTGAGTGATATTAAGTATATTTTCTTTTCTGTTATGTAATTGTCATTCTATAATTTTCTTAATTTTTAATTATACAGTCCACAATTTATTATATTTACAGTATTCCGGGTATGTAAAATTTCATTAATTAATAGGTCCAGAGCAACTTGTGGATATGACTGGTAGGGATCGAAGGGACATTTTTTGCGACCTAGGTCCCAAATTCCCTTTGTCTTTTGTAACTCGATAAATAATAATTATCTTTGTTATCATTTTCTGTTTATGAATAAATGGTTTACATTTCAGATAAATTCAATTTTCCACAATGTGTATATGTGATGAATGGTTTGAAAAACCGACAGTTTTAGATTAAGACACTTATGCAGCATATGGAAAACTTTATTCAGGAAACGTTTCGCCACACAAATGCTTCATCAGTCCAATACAAAGAGGGAAGACGCAAGGAGAGGAGAGAATGAGTAACATCCCTCAACCTGGATCGATGTTTCAGTCCCTCAATCTACAAGAATTGATGACGAACACATTTCCCCCAGTTGAGGGAAATGATACCTCATTCCCTCTCTCCTGCGCCTTCCTCTTGTATTGGACTGATGGAAGCCACTGGTGGCGAAACGTTTCCTGAAAAAAGATTTCCCTATGCTGCATAAGGGGGTCTTAATCTTCAATGTGATATATCATCGTGAGGTATCTGTTAATATACAAATTTTTTGGCTTTTGTTCGATGCTGGTGAAAGACCCCCGACAAGGAGTTTTGAGCTAACCCTCTCCCCCTTGGATTTTTACCCCAATTACCTCCATGCCATAGGTAGGCTGGGTAATGATCTACCCACACGATTTAAATTTACACAAATGCCTACTATGGGGCGCCATTTACGTAGTTATTACCCCCCAGACGGTTTTTGCGCTTCAACCGCGAATGTTAACTCTAATAATAACTTTATCAAAACAGATCAGGCATTTAAATTTTTAGGCCACACAGTGCCCGCGCAGTCCGGTGATGGATTTAAGAAAAATCCCCCCTCTTCAATTTTTTCCGGGGAACTTTGGGAAATTGTACACGTGGATTTACAACGGAAAATTTGTAGGGAATTTTTCTCGATTTACGATGCTTTTGGTTAGGTTGGGTAGGTTTTGTTAACTAGGAAAAGGTTAGGTTGGCTAGGTTTTAACAGTTTTGGTTAGGCTATTATTTAGGTTATATTAGATTAGAATAATTAGGTTATTTTAGGCTAGGTTTAATTAGGCTAGGTTATGTTAGGTTAAACTAGGCTAGGTTAGGTTAGGTTAAATTAGGTTAGACAAGGTTAGGTTAGACAAGGTTAGGTTAGACTTGGTTAGGCTATGTTAAATTAGGTTAGATTAGGTTATGTTAGATTTAATTAGGTTAAGTTAGGCTAGGTTTAATTAGGTTAGGTTATGTTAGATTTAAGTAGAGTAGACTAGGCTAGGCTAGGTTTAATTAGGTTAGGTTAGGTTAGGTTTAAGTAGGTTAGGCTAAGTTAGGGCTAGGTTTGATTAGGTTAGGTTAGGTTAGGTTAGGTTTAAGTAGGTTAGGCTAAGTTGGGCTAGGTTTAATTAGGTTAGGTTAGGTTAGGTTTAAGTAGGTTAGGCTAGGTTAGGTTAGGTTAGGTTAGGTTAGGTTAGGTTAGGTTAGGTTAGGTTTAAGTAGGTTAGGTTAGGCTAGATTAGGTTTAATTAGGTTAGATTGTCATCTATCAATACACCAATAAATTTGTTTAGAAAGAAATACCAGCAAACATTAGAATATATCAGACAACGTTACGGTCCTGGAACCTTGAACACTTCTAACATACAGAGGTTAGAAAAGACAGTATGTTAGAAGTGGTACTACTAGGTAATTGCTTAGTAAGTACCTAATGGCTATAATCATGACCATATTTTTTATAGGGGGTGGATCGATAAGCCAGCGAAAGGCCTCGGTCAGATGACCAAAAGCTCCAGCTGACTAAGACCAGCGTCGGAAAACACTTGACCATTTTCCTGACAAATATTACCAAGGTGTCTTTCTGAATCAATTTACGGGTATTTATTACCAAGGTTTATACCACACCGATAAATGGAACATCCGGATTACTCAACAAATGCGTTCAGTTTCAATATCGATATGTAAATTTAGTAGCAGTAATTTTTCAACATATAGGCTAGAGGCATTACAATTAGCACTTTTCGGACAGACGTAGAATTAGGGGAAATATGATAGAAGTGTACAAATGGAAAACAGGTATAATTAAGATGGACAGCAATAATGCAGTGAAAATATTTCACCAAGACAGGACTCTCAGAAAGGATTTTAGTTGGATAAATATTTAGAAAGGATATAAGGGAAGCATTGTGTGGAAAATACCGTATATATTTTCCGGAAATACGGTAATTTATAGGTAAATAGATGGCCTATACTGTATTTAATAATATTTGTCATAGAAAACGGAAAGCCTGCGTCTGGGCAGGAGACTCGCCATCTTGGTTTTGAATTTGTACAAACGTTGGTGTAATGGGAAGAATGTTTCGTGCTCTAGAGGTTAAAATTGTGTTGACACCTCTCAAATGGGAGGCGAAATTGGTGGATGTGCATTCCTGCATAACTTGAGATATCAGACGACTGGACAAAACAGCTCCAGGAACCTCAGATAAGCTCTCTAGATTTGTGTGAAATTCTGGCCAGCATTATTTTCATAGATTTAGATAGAGTGAGGTTTTCTGAGTATGATACACATTAATCTCCAGTCAAATTGGTGAGTGATATTAAGAGTGATATTAAGGCACAGTACTCGCTCCCATCTTGTTCCTCATCCTCATATCCGACATAGACAAGGATGTCAGCCACAGCACCGTGTCTTACTTTGCAGATGACACCCGAATCTGCATGACAGTGTCTTCCATTGCAGACACTGCAAGGCTCCAGGCGGACATCAACCAAATCTTTCAGTGGGCTGCAGAAAACAATATGAAGTTCAACGATGAGAAATTTCAATTACTCAGATATGGTAAACACGAGGAAATTAAATCTTCATCAGAGTACAAAACAAATTCTGGCCACAAAATAGAGCGAAACACAAACGTCAAAGACCTGGGAGTGATCATGTCGGAGGATCTCACCTTCAAGGACCATAACATTGTATCAATCGCATCTGCTAGAAAAATGACAGGATGGATAATGAGAACCTTCAAAACTAGGGAGGCCAAGCCCATGATGACACTCTTCAGGTCACTTGTTCTATCTAGGTTGGAATATTGCTGCACACTAACAGCACCTTTCAAGGCAGGTGAAATTGCTGACCTAGAAAATGTACAGAGAACCTTCACGGCGCGCATAACGGAGATAAAACACCTCAATTACTGGGAGCGCTTGAGGTTCCTAAACCTGTATTCCCTGGAACGCAGGAGGGAGAGATACATGATTATATACACCTGGAAAATCCTAGAGGGACTAGTACCGAACTTGCACACGAAAATCACTCACTACGAAAGCAAAAGACTTGGCAGACGATGCAACATCCCCCCAATGAAAAGCAGGGGTGTCACTAGCACGTTAAGAGACCATACAATAAGTGTCAGGGGCCCGAGACTGTTCAACTGCCTCCCAGCATACATAAGGGGGATTACCAACAGACCCCCGGCAGTCTTCAAGCTGGCACTGGACAAGCACCTAAAGTCGGTTCCGGACCAGCCGGGCTGTGGCTCGTATGTTGGTTTGCGTGCAGCCAGCAGCAACAGCCTGGTTGATCAGGCTCTGATCCACCAGGAGGTCTGGTCGCAGACCGGGCCGCGGGGGCGTTGACCCCCGGAACTCTCTCCAGGTAAACTCCAGGTATAAATGTGTGTATATACTATAATCCTTTTTTATTTTTAATATACAGTCCACAAATTTATATATTTACCAGCATTCTTGGTGTATGTATATTTCATTAATAATTAATAGGTCCAGCGTAACTTGTGGATATGACAGTGGTAGGTATCGAAGGGGGACATTTTTTGCGACCTAGGTGTCCCAAATTCCTACTTGTCTATGTAACATTGATAAATAATAATTATCTTTGTTATTTACTGTTATGTACATAATGAGTTACATACAGATAAATGCAATTTTCCACACATTGGCTTG